TAGATGAGTGTGTGAAGACCTCTACCTTATAATGGTTCCTGCCAGTACCACTAAGGCATTCACTCATAAAGATGTGGTTTATACGTATACACACACACATACACAAACGCATGCACTTGGAGTGGAGGATGTTCTTTTAATAGTGTTAGGAAATTCTGCAGATGTCATTACGAACATGTTCATACTGGCTCTGGTTCTTGGCAGACTAACCCTTCCGTGCGGTTGAACTGGAAAAAAAAAAAAGAGCTTTCGTATCACTTACCCTGCTTGCAACTTGCTGACCAAGGAAAAGGAGGCAGTAGCAGAAAAAAAGTGGGAATGCCCCAAGATTTTTGTGCCGTGCTTTTTCAGGTGCAATTTCTGCCTTGGGGCCTTTTTGTCAATGACCTGAGTCCGTCTCATTCAAGGTCAGCTGTGTGTTGAGCACACTGACTTTGCCCAGGATATGTGCTAGAAAATTGGACTGTGACTAGGTCAATAGCAAGTCTTAGTTGTCAGTGAGACTTTTTCTTTATCATAATGGCACACTTGATTATTTTTTTTTTAAATTATCTGACATTCTGTGCAATTTAAGAAAGTAGACAAAACAAAAGGAGAACGTTTCATAATGGTCTGACATGTGCACTGACAAACACAAGTGCAGTTATGGACACCTTGCAGAGTTTGTGAGAGGGAGTCAGTAGCTATCATTGCAAATGGAAGAGCAGAAACAACACTGTTTCTAGGTGGAGAGGTAATGCATTTTTAACATCATGGGACAAGCACGGAGCGTACTTTGCTGCACACCCGTTCCACTCTGGTCCATGCTTCTGCTATAGGTCACTAACTCTTTTAGTTTTGCTCAAGCTGTACCCATATGGTTTGTAAATGCACCTTTGCTTTTGAGTAATAAATGACACATGGCTTCTTTGGCAGCTCAAGGCTTGACTTTTCATCTTGACACCCTTGGGCATCTGGCAGATGACAGATGATAGATTTAGACAGTGTGCCTTGCATGTGTGTTTACCTTAACTTTGTAACACGGTCCAAATGTTATTTAACTTTATGTATTTAAAGGAGACCAATTGGGAATGGCATTCACATACAGTAGGACAGCTGATGCTGTTGCTGTAATTACTTGTTTGGTATAGTTACTAGCAAGTTTATAATTTCCTGAGCATGACTGGGTCTATTGAATTAAAGCAGGGTGTTTGGAAACAGGGAGAAAGAGGAAACCAAATGGTAGTTTAACAATAGGCAGTAAATGTAAACCAGAACTTATTTACTTGACACATTATTATAGTCAGGTTGAATTTAGTTTTGGGGTTTGGTTTTTTTTTTTTTTAAGGCTGCCATTTGCTTTGCGAAATAGGTTCTAGGAACTAGATCTTTAGCATGTTTTCTAGACTGAAGGTGATGCTGCTGTTTTCTGTAAAATGCTGAGTTGTTAAATGTGCAGTATTGCAATGTGTTAGAGGAATGGGAATTCTTTCTTTGTATGTATTAGAAAATACTCTTTTCCATTAGTCAGTGCACCTGGTACTTACTTTTTTATTGCAATAACAGAGATGTTGATACTTTATATATTTTCAGGACACATTACTTTTGAAGAAACATTTGTTATTATTTGTTTACAAAAAACTTAGCATGGAAAGGTAAATTTGGGTACAAGTGGCTGTTATTTTTAAAGCCCTGTCATTACTATTAAAATCTAAATTGGTGTTTATTATTTTTAAATACTGCATTGCAGAATTTCTGACATCCATTGGTATTTTTTCATCAGGACCACTTTTTGTGCCCAAAAATGTGTTCACGTATCTGTTTCTGCAGCTCATTTTTCATTATTAGTACAGCAGTGTAAGTATGCACCTAAAGAAATATAGACACATTCTCTGTGCAGAGAAGCTAATAATTCAGGGTTACTCCTGCAAAATTTATACAAAGTATAGTCCTACCCTGCTGTGAAAAGGTTTTCATTGCATGAGTAGGACTAATCATGTTATACTGCTATTTGCAGACAAAAGCAGCTGATGATGACAGCATAAAAATGACAGCTGGACTGTTATTGGTAGGATATTTCCCTGTATGCATATGTTTTTGAGAATTTTTTTTACAAAACTTTTTTTTTAGAAAGTGGAAGATAGACTTTTAGCCAAAATATTAAAATAGTTACATTCCATTTCTTTCCTCCTTGGATCTGTGGTTTGATTAGCCTGAATTGTCATTTCTTCTCTGTTGGTTGTATGGGTGGGTTACTCTGAAATTCCCATGGGGTATCCATTTGACCAAATGTAGTTACATAATACTGTACTTTCAAGAAACCCATGTGAAGAAGAAAAATGTAAAATTCTTCAGATAGCAGATAGTTGTGAAAATTCATCAAAAAAAGGTTTTGATGGAATATTTTGACGTGTCCTGGAGGTAGAGGTGTGTCTGTACGATATGTTTTTTCTGTGTATTCTACCTGCCTATACATATATTAACATTGTTGGGGGGGGGGTTGTATGTAGGAGAGAGAAGTTGTTTCTTAAGGGCAATGTAGGACTGGACAGGAATGTGTACATGACTCTGAAACAGATGTCAGAATTGACAGACAAGCCAGAAGTGACCATTGAGGAGACAGAAGATGAAAGCAAATAGTAGAATACTGCTGGGAAGCGTGATCTAATTGCAAGAGATGATGGGATGAAACCAAAACAGAACCAGTAAAAATCAAAAGTAGACAACCAGCGTATCTTTAGCATAATCTTCCACTGCAATCCCCACAAACATACAGAGGGCCCTAATTTCTGGCTCCCTGAGCTGCTGGGATAATAAATGGGTCAATATGCATGAAATCATCTTTCCAGTTACCCTTCCTTTTGTCTGTCTTATCAGATGTTTTCAGAATGGAGCTGTAAGAAGTAAAGATATGCAAAGGGAAATGACTAGATGGTAGAATGAGAGAGGAGTGGTTTGTAAACCAGTTCCAGCCCCATAAAGTTACAAAACACTTCCCACTGGCTTTGAGAAGCTCTGAATCAGACCCTGCTGGCTGAGAAAATCAGGCAGAACAAGAACCCCAAATGGAAAGGGGGTTTTGATTTGTCAGGAGTTCATAATATGGGGAGAGAGAGCTGTAACACTTCATAACGGTTGTCTTAAAACAACAAAAAATGTCGATATTTTGCATCTTTTTGTTAGTGTAGTAGCTAAGATCAATGAAAGGAAGTGAAAAAAGTTAAAATAGTTACACTTCCCGGCTGGTCAGACTGATCTTGTCTGGAGAATGTGGATTTCATAATACATTTAACTTGGCACCCTGGGATTTTTTCTCTGCTTGAAATGTTTTTTTAATGAGAAGTTGCATTTTAGAGACATAATCTTATGTAAACACTAGCCAGGAGAGTTTGATATTTAACTTATTTTGCTGGAGAGAAGAGTCTCTCCAGGTAGTATACTTTTATTAAACTTACAAAATGAAATTCATCAATGTTTGAGAACTCAAGCCTGGATTGTGAACTGTGAGGGTTTTTTGTCTTACATTGATGTAGGTTCAGTTATGCTCAGCAGAAAAAGCCATAGTGAAACCCCTCTGAGCATCTGGATTAAATGAATCTTTGAATTGCTAATTGTTTAAGGTTGACCTAGTAGATGTCCAACAGCTGTCTTCGTGTTGTTTGTGGTACACAATTGCAGTCTGCCTAGAAAAAAAAAAAATTCAAACAGACTCCCCCCATGGCCAAGCAATTAATTCATGCACAGAAAGTGGTGGTCTATGCCTTATAAAATTAATTTATCATACACAGGGGTGGGGGTAGATACTACATGATGAGTTGCAAGCAAATGAGGTATAAATGAGACTGTTAGCATAATCATAACTGAGTGATGTCCCATGCTTTGGGAGAATGTCATGTAAGAAAAGGTGACACAATTTAGCTTAATCAAAGACAAGTTTAGTCCTTTGGTGAACCTTTCTGTCTGAATGGTAAAGTGCTTCCAGATAGTGAGTGCTGATAATTAATGCAGATCATACAGTTGCATGAGTCTGAATTTCATTCGCTGGCATGAAATATGTAAATATAAATCAGGAAAAGCCCAATTACTCATATATCAGTAATTCTCAATTCCCATGTATCAGCAATACAGGTTACTGGTCATCTTCACTTTTCATATCAATGCCTATATAAGAGTACTAGCACAATCAAAAATGTTTTGATTCATTTGGACACTATATAACTTTGGTGTGTTAAGGAAATGTCAAGGTGAGGTTACCTATTTTTAAGTCCTCATTTGAAATTATGAATATGCCTAAGTAACTTGCGCAACTAGTCATATATTTAAAGTATCATGCTGAACTAACGCTTTAGTGCTTCATTATAATAGATTTATAGGAATCTTTTATTTTTGTCCATTTTTTGGTTTATATTGTATTGTGTATTTAGCATTCATAATGGACTAGATGGGTTGGACTAGACAGGTTGGACTAGACAGCCTGAGGCCCCTTCCCACCTCAAGTATTCTGTGATTCTGTGATTTGTAGTGTCTGTAAAACAATGATGCTGTGGTTCACAGTATACAATGCTACCCAAACAATATCTAGTGCCACCAGGCAACCCAAGAGTAAACAGATGAGAATGCCCTAATAAATGAAAGGGATCATGCATTACAAAGGGATTTAGTTTCAGGTATACTATTTTTTTTTCCTTTTCCAACCCAGTATGATGTTTTAATCTTCCTCTGAGTCTTCAGCACCTCTTTCTTGGTACAGCTGGATAGCATAGATGCAGAGCAACAAACAGAGACTATATAAGAGTTGTTTCTAAAGCTGTGTTCATACCGCTCATTTTCTGAATTTTTCTGATGTTTGATTCTGAACTCTGCTAAATCCTGTTTTCATTTCAGATTCTTCTCAGTGAGCTAGTTTGTTTTATTGTCTTTCCCTCATCAGATGTCTTTTGGGGGGAAAAGATCTGTCTGTTAACCAGGTGAGGGGGAAAAGAAGAATTACTAATCAAATCTTTTGTGCTGTTTCCAAACAGGGAAGAAGAGGCTTAGGTTCAGTCTTTGTTTGGGCATCTGGAAATGGTGGAAGAAGTCGAGACCACTGCTCCTGTGATGGCTACACCAATAGCATCTACACTATCTCCATAAGCAGCACAGCTGAAAGTGGAAAGAAGCCATGGTATCTGGAAGAATGTGCATCCACACTAGCTACAACATACAGCAGTGGGGAATCCTACGACAGGAAAATAGTACGGGTTTAACATTTTTTTTTTTATGTGTATGGGTTTGTGTTTTGCATGGTGACTTTGAGGGTAGGGGTACAGGGAGACCTCATTTATACTAATTTGTGGACTGCTTTAGAAAAAGATCATATGTGGGCAAGTTCATTTAGCCCCAGTGTGTTACTTGGCTGGCGTCACCATACTGCTTTTTGTAACCAGCATGGGTATCTACATGTTGCAGCCCAGTGCACTGCAGGTATACCCAGTTCACATCAGGTTTTTGCATTCATCTAGTTGCTGCCATCTCTGATTGATGCTTTCAAAGATCCTATTGCCACTGCCACTGAAACCAATACCTTGTACCCTATCAATAGGCCTGAGAACATATCCTCCTGTTGTTTTTAATCCAGTTATCAAAAGTTTTCATATTTTACTTGCACAATATTAGGAGTTTTCCTACGTACCTCTCTGTTCTCTCAGATTTATTTCAATCCAGCGTCATTTCTCCTTTACATTCAGTGATGGTCAGTTATTATTCATAGTACTGCCTATTCCACCTAGATGATATATTGTAAGCAAGATTAAGCTCAGTGCTCATCTTTCTTGTATTGTTCCTCATCTCATACCTAAACAGCCAGCATCCATTTTCCATTATGTTCTCATCTTGGCTGGAAACTGACAAATTGTTTTAATTCTGTTTGATAATCTATTGATACCATCAGTATTTGTATGCTATGTCTGCTTTTTCAAATTGAGTGCATTCAATATACTTTTCAATATTCAATATACCACTCCTTTTAACCTTTTAAACCCTTGTACTAGGATTGTTCAGGTTTGTTAATATTGTCCTCTTCCCAGCTTATTTATTCTAGTGTATAACTTACAGAACTTAATTTCTTCCTGATCAGAAAATTTAGGGGGTTGAGGTTTCCCCCCGCCTTCCCCCCCCCAAGATGTTTTCTTAAGCACCCATCCAACATTACGTTCTTTCTGGTCCTTAGCAGATACCTCTCTTGGTGTCTGTGACGAGTTAAAAATTCTTGCAGCTATGGTTTTTTTAATAGTGTCTGCCTTGTCTTTCAGGATTCTGGGATGCTGGCCATCCCTTCTTGGATTCTCCTTTATTTTCAGATGATCTAATTTTTGTTTTAAACCTGTTCTGTGGTTCTTTGTTCCAGTAATTTTTCTGTTCTTAACTTGTTTCTCTCCACTGAAACCTTATCTCTGTTCCTGGCATGTTTCTTGTTCTCCCTGATAAATAATAATAAAGAAAAGAAATTACTCTGTCTCCTAGCAGTCCTCACTTCTGTGATTAAATTCGCTGTACTACCCTTTAAAAGACCTTCAATAACTTCTTCATGTTTAAGTGAGACTAATACAATAAGAGCTGAGCAGAGGTAATTGTGGTTCCCCAGCCTGACCTCTTGCTTAGCCGAGTCTATAGGACTTCCCTGAGTCCTTCAAATCCCACAGTTGCTGTCAACTCAACAATAATTTTCATAAATACAAGCTTGCTTTCAAAGCTTCCGTTGACAGAAAATCCACTTAAATTTAGGGCAAGTTGTTTTAATTACCCATTGCCATTAAAAAATTTCTCTTTTTTGCTATCTGAGCTCCTCTAGCTTCAATTTCTAGGCATTTGGTTGTGTCACAGATTTTATTGCTAATATGAAGAGCACTCTAGATGTGTGATGTCTTTCTCTCTACCCGTGTAGGCTTGTCAGTTAATCCCTTTTGATAAATGAAGGTAAGCTTCTTGCATCATTCTGTGTAGGGCACATTTTCTTATAAACCTTCTCCTATTTGATGAGCTTTGAGCACACACCAGTCAGGTAGTAGCAGTGTCAGTGCCAAATGCACAGGAAAATGTGTATCTGTGAGTGCCAACTCAGTTCCCCTGTCTTCATACATTAAGCCTGACTGAGACTTGTTAGCTTCACTGTCATGTAATGTGTTCATCGTTGTGTGATGCCCAACCCGCTTTCAGAGCTGCTGCTTCTCTTTTTCAGAGTTGGTGGTCCAAGGACAGATCTGAGGGTAGCTATGGTCTCCTTATTGCACCATTTATCACTGGCTGTAGTGGTTTATTAACCAGGCCGGACCAGCCCTCATCATCACTGTCTCCAATATTTCTCCAAGTGCAGCATTCATCAGAAGCTGATGGTGTTTTCTACCAGGTCTTTGATAAAAGCTATAGGTCATATTAAGGCCAAGAACCAAATTGTGCAAGGCCTGATTAGAAACAAGACTCATTTCTTATACGTGCTATAAGTATATATATAATTTCTCTGCTTCTAAATATATATCTGATTTCTTATGTATGCTTACATTTTGAGATCTCATAATTATCCCATTTTCAATATATGTATTATGTATCATGTACATTTTTAATCTCTTAAATAATTTTTTTTTTTTAATGTGCAGTATCACATTATGTGTCTTGTAGAATCACAACTGTACTACTTTCAACCAAAGTGGTGGCCAGAAAAAAAACACTGCAGCACTTCGGCAAGCTCCCTTTTCCAGCAGCTTATGTTATCCACCATTAAGTATACTATTAGTTAATTAATTTATTAATGATTACTTTAGATCCTTTATCAGCTGTTTTACACTAGATACAAACTTGGCAAATAGATGAAATTATTAGGACAATACTGCTTACCCTTTCAAAATATTGACAATGTGTGGGTTTTCTTTCGATCTTTTCTCCAGTGTTCAAAGACTTGCTAAAATCAACAGTAAAGTCTAACATGTTCCCTGTCCAGCTCTTGTAAAAGTCTTTGGTGCTTCCAGTCTTTCTGATTTAAACTTGCTATTTGAAATACGTATAAATAGGAAGATGATTTATCATCTTTGTATGCTCTGAAAACGTAATTTAGATTTTTTTCCCAAAAGGTACATCCAGTAAAATAGCCATTTCCTATACACTGCTATTAATTATTCTATTATTTCTGGACAATTAAAATAATATTGGTTTGGGGGTTCTTTTCCTTCTGATATATTTGAAAATAAAGCATCCTTTTACTATATTCTGTTCTTGCAGGCTTTGCCATTTGGCTTTTGTCTTTCCTTACCACCTCTATGCACATTCTGTCTCCTAATTTTTATTCATTGCTATCCACTTTGTCTTTTACTCTTTATTTATTTATTTATTACTTCTTGCACCTGTCAATACTTGTTCTGTTGACCAGAATATCCTTGCTCATTTCTTTAAAATCTAGTAAAATATCTGTATGTTTCTCAGTCCTTATTTATAGTTTTCTACTTAGCTGATTTAATCTATGTGCATTCCTCTGATTTTTTAGTAGCTGTAGTTTTCCTGATGATTGTCTTCCATTCTTTTCAATTAGCATGGACTTTCTGCTTTTACAGAATTACTATTTCAATAAGAGACCATTGCTTATTTCTGATGTGTCACTCCCTTATGACTTACGCTAGAATGAAAAACACCTGGAGGTGATCTCACCTTCATGGTTAAAGACTTTCTTATGAACCACGAGAATAGATATTTTTTTAGTTTACTGAAGTATAGTACCCATCACTTCTAGAATTTATGCACTGTGCTAATACAGGTTTATATTTTATTGTAAGATTTTTGACAGGCATACTTTACAAATGAAAGATAAATTACTATATATAAAATGAACATACATTATCCCATAGTTAGAGAAATAATGAAGAGGGTTTATATAAACATTATTGAAAAGATTTAAAGATATGTCTGTTTAAAAACATCCTTAATTTGGATGTTCTGGAGTTCTCACACAGGCTATAAGAGATAAGTAAAAATAACTTTTAACTGAAATCCACCAGTTCTGTAAGCACTGATTGCTTTTACTAATCAGACCCTCCATTCCTTTGGGAGCAATCCAGTTGCATATGCCAATTTTAGATTGTTCCTACAGAGTGCATCATTTTGCAGAGTGAATGGTAAAAGCATAAACGTACTGAGGAGCCATAAGAATTAACCCAAGTCTGTTGATCCTTTGTTTACCAGAACTTAATTTATCCTTACATTTGAGTAAAGCAACTTTGATATTGCGTGTGCCATAAGATTCACTGATCTCAAATGCTTGAATATCAGACCATAAATATTCCCTCCAAGACTCTTTTTTCTGTACTATATTATCAATTGACTTCTGAAACACACAACCTGTGTGAGGGTGTTTTACTACTGGTACTTGGTATTTAAAGCCAGGCAAGCCTGTTCCCCCTCCAGACACTTTCAGAGACAAAGCAGAAGAGTGTACGAGAGATGCCATCAATAGCTGTCTCTTTGTGTTGTTTGTAAACCAGTTATCCCCATAAGGGATACTATGTACCTCTGTTATGCTACAGCCTGATGAGAAGTGACATAAAATTGTGAGGCCTACTTTTCAAACTGAGTATTAAGCAGTCCTTTCAACATGCACACACGTGGAAACAGGGACATTGCTCTCACCTGTGTGATTCTCTTGCTCATAGCCTGATTTTGAGAGCAATAATGATAGTATCACTATTCTCTTCTCCAACTTGTCTACTAAAATCCAGTGCTCCTAAAGACCTATCAAACCTCCTTTACCTTGGAAAGAGGTCTTGTTTGAAACAAGCACTGAACTGAAGACAGAACTGAAAATTGTGAGGATGGAGTTTTTCAACTGCTATAAAATGCTAAAAGAGTCTAGAATAAAGATGTGTATTTGTTTTCATTGTTGTACCACACATCCTTTTCACTGCATCGTATCTCACATTTTTGTTTAGACTGCTGCTCCTTTTGAGTCAGATTGCCTTCATATCTTTCCACAAAAAGCTTAGAGCTTGCAGTAAGTTTAAAGGGAGAAATAACAATAGAAGATGAATAGAAAGATTATTATTAAATTTAAATTATCCAAATTCTCTTATGCATATACATTTATATGCAATATACAAATTAGCTATGAAGGGCTCAACTTCATGCCATAATATGAAAAGAATAGCAATATTTGGTCAAGTCATATGGTGATTTGGTTTGTTGGAGTGAGACTCCTATCTTCAGAATAGGAAAAAAAAAATACTGCTGCAGTAAATCAGGAAGAAGTGACCTGGTGTGGGAGTTACAGTCAAAATCAAATTAACTTATTTATTGTCATGTAACTCAGAACAAACTCCAGTATCATATGAAATTCTGCAATGTTGTAATACAGAAATACCTATCCACTGTCCTGTTAAGGGCCCGTGAATGGTTACAACTTTATAGTGTCATACTCCACAGTTCCTTCATATTTTCCCTTGCAGTTCTTCAGTTTAATATCTTTTTTTCTTTTCTGTTTTTCTATTCATTATGTGCAGAATGTATTATAAGGCAGATGAACAAACAGTAACCAAATGTTGGGCAGTCATTGTGTGGACTAAAAATTCATATAAAAATGTTTTGGTTTCAATATAGACTAATAGAAGCACCCACACTTTTGTAACTACACAAAAGATTTTTTTTTTTCTCTTTTCATTACTATGCGTTTTTATGATTGCTTGTTACAAATATAGGATTTTTTTTCAGTCTTGTACAATGATAGCTTAAGAACATAATTTCACCTACACAGCTCTGTTTTCCATATGGAGCTTTTTTTACTGAGTCTGAACTAAATAGAAGCAAATTCTGGCCTGAAATAATTTGAGCTAATGATTACAGTTAAATACACACTGATGTTACCGTCTTGCATGAGTTGCTTCTTGCTCCGGGAAGGTACTCCAGGTGTGCTTGACTTCATGCTGTACCAAATTTTATTGCAGTAACTGTTAGCCCATTATGGACTGAGTTGCCAACCTTTGGCTGTATTAACATGCCTAATGCGTACAAACATTTCACAGATGCAGCTGATGTACACCTTTTACATAGACTCTTAGAGAAAAGAACTAGAATTACTTGTAGGTGTTTTCAAGAGCAGCTGTTAAGTGCCAGCATAGGTATAGGCATAGAAACACACTCTGGGACAAAGGCAAATTAACAGTAGGTAAAGACCATAAAAATGTACTTCTTTATAGAGATTATCTCTCATAACAGAGTGAGTGCAGAAGTATTGGCTAATAATATACAGTTGTCAAGGTATTTTGTCCTTTTATTCTCTTCTTGCTGTTTTGAATACTATAGGACAATGCTGGAAGATAGCTTCCCCACTCCAGACAATGCAGCTAGGATAGGTTAAACACCACCTAATATAGTTATCTATATGGTCCTTTCATTTATCAAACATGTTGCACAAATGCATCACATTTCTTTTGAATTCCTTTTTCAAATTATTTCTTAAAGCACTAAGGGATTTACATATGAAAGTCCCTCACATATAATTTATAAACCTATTACATGTCTTACCTTCTGAAAATAACCTCTCTACTTACTGTTCCACCTATTTCTTTGTTTTCTAAAAAATGCCAATTCATCTGCTGAGTTTCTTTCTCTTCTAAGATATATTTCTGCCTTGCTGACTAGCTTCTGCTCTAAGCAGAACTTGAAACAAAACCACAAAAAAACCCAACATCTCCTGACAGTTCTTAAAACACAAACGAAAACCTGCTCTTGTTCAGAAACTCTTTTAGGGTATCAAGATACACACAACATGGCACCTTTAATTTTGGGTAAATACAGATACATTAAGGATGTGAAAAGGAAGAGTAGATTTTTGTTAAACCCTTGTCACTCCTAGGGAGTCACAGGTTCATAGAAACCAACATAACTTGAAGAACTATAGCAGAAGGTAAAAAATGGTTCAATCAGTTCAGAAAGCTCATGTCCTGAAATATGAACTAGGAAGAAATGCAGAGGATTGGGAGAGGAAGAGTGAGTATGTTCTCTGCTAAGGGAAATCCCATTTTTGACCTTAGTCATTAACCTCCCAACTGGTGAAACTATGGAAAGATTCATGATGCAGCCTTAATAATGACTGTACAGAAATGGCATCTCCTTAATTCTTCAGAGCAAGTTGCTTCTGTAAAACTACAGTGTGTCTAAAGTTTTTTCTTTAATAAAGGTGTGCATTTATTTTCTGAAAGCTGTTGGATTTCTGCATTTGGTGGGTATTATAGTGCATTGTGGTGATTTGTATCATTTTTGTCTGCCTTTCATCAGGGTGTCTGTCCTAGGTTGCTAATCTTGTGTTGATTAAACTAGGCCAGTACCAGAAACATTGTCACTGTCTTCAGTCAAATCTAGTTGATTCAAAAGATTTAGAAGTGGGTATAACTCATGGCCCTTCAAATATTGCATGGACTTCTCTTGGGTAGTCTGATCAGCATTTTCGTAGATCAGAAGTTGTTACAAAGGTATTTGAAGCATACAAACATGTTGTGCTCAACAAAAGATTTGGAAATTTCTCCTTCTCCCCACCCTGTTGATCAGAATGACAGCAAATATACACTAATGACAGCTTCACGGTGCTGTCAAATACCACATCTTTTTATTGTGATTAATGATGTTGCCCCAAGTGGTTCAAGAGTTTGGGGCACCATTTTTCTTCTTGAAACTTACTCGCCGGTTGGTGGTCCTGTACTCTTATTTTTCTCAGGATTGACGCGACACTTCTCTGACAGTGAATCCATAGTGCTGAAAAACATATCTCAGATCTTGGAGGTAATTTACACCCAAACATCTCAGCTCCTGTCAGTAACTTTCCTTTGAAATAGCTCAAATGGGATTTCCATTTAAGAAGCTTTCCCTCCACATTTTCTCCTGAAATATTTGCTGAGTGAAAGAGATAAGGGTCTGTAGTTCAAACTGCTACCACAACATCCACTTAGAACGTGAGAGATGTTGCCAAATAAAGACGTGTCATGGTTTATTGTGCTTGATATCTGTAGCTACAGGACAATAAAAACACTCTGGAAGCATGTTTTTGCAGAGGATAATACAGATAGCACAATGCAGTGTGCTTTTCACTGTATTGAGAAAGACTGTCTCTTAAGGAAGAGCTGCTATGAGGGCACTTCTCCCTGCCTGAGCTCCTATAGGTTTTGCTACCCTTTGGTCCAAAAGCAACTGCTGCACCACTTTTGTGTGGGACAAGGTACCAGCCTGCAAAAGAGAGAAGCATGTATTAGTCCCTTTTTCTGCCTTCCCTTGTTCCTGGCCTCGTTTCCACTCCTTGTCACAGCACTGACCAGTGTTTTTCCAAACAGGACAACTGAATCTTGTATGTCTGTATTTGGGTGCATGTCATCCTGTAGTCCTTGGCCACATTAATCCCACCTGCAAAATCACTACTTGCATTAGCACATATAGGCAGTGTAATGTTAGGGCTGTTCCTGCTGCAGTTTCGTTTCTTAATAGTGTCAGGGCATTTATGGAATTTGCATGCATAAAGGTTTTTTCCAACACTATTAATTTTCATTGTCTAAATTAGTACACAGTCAGTAGGAGGGAAGGAAAGAGGTAAAGAAATTATGTGAATATTTTATTTATGGGTTTCAACTTTTAGCAGATGACCCATAAAAGAAATTGTTTAACAAGATGTGCATTAAATAATAGGGAAAAAATGTTCTTTCTAGACTTCGTTATTCTTGAATCTGACCTTTAGTAAGTTCACTAATGTAAGGATATGACATTATAAATGCTTTAATCCATCTTTTTCAACTTCTGGAAGCTTCCATTTTGTTTCACTTTCTCGCTACTTCCTTTCAACAATAATTTCCTGGGTGCTATTAGCTCCTTCTCTATTAGAAGTCTTTTCTTTTTGTGATTTTTCGATCCTCTGATCCTCTCCTTCTCCCATCTTTGTGCATATCTGTGTTGTGAATGAAGTATGATATTAGTGAATTAGATGAAATGAAGACACAATAATTCTGTATACTTAGGTAAGAAGCATGTAAGCAGCTTCATCTCTGCCCCTCAGGCAGATATTTTATGCCTACTAGTGACTGAATCTAAGGGATCAGCTGAAATGCTGGTAATAAGGTTTGGCGTCACAGGTCATTCACTGCCACCTTCATGGAGGTTTCTGTGCTGTAGGCTGCTGTCTGCTACTAACTGTTCTCAAGTCCATGGGGGTTTTGTTTGGGCTTCTGTTAGGTAGTAGGGACTTATTGTCTCTACTGCCTTGCTCTTGCTAGGAACCACATCTTCAGAAAGAAGAGCATGGATTAGAATCATGTTAGATTAACATTTCCTGAAAGAAGCAGAATTTAGAATAAACACATTTTTGTGTGTGATTTGCTGTCTTACAGAAAGAATCTGCCTAAAATTCATTATGGGACAGGAGCATGCTAATGCTACATAGAAGGCTGTGCCTCTAGTTGGTATTGCACATTAGAGTTTATACATCCACTTAGATTACATATAAAAATATGTGGCAGCATATAATTAAGCAATACATAACAATTTAAAGCTGCAATTAACTAGTTGACTGGTGATGTCTAGGTCAAATTTGTGATTACATCAGGATTTTCAAATGAATTGTTGCTTAATTTCATGTGAATTATTGCATAAGGCATGAAGGAAGGATAAAACACAGTACTTAGCATGAATGCAACTGTATTCTATTCTTTCATATAATTCCAGTCTGACTTCAGGTAACCTAATTAACACCTCTGTACCTCTTTTATAGTCTCTAAAATGGGCATAACCAGCCTGTATATAGGGAGCACTGTAAGATTTAGTTCATTCCTGTTTGTAAAGCACTTTGAGATTCTTGGATGGAAAGTGCTCTATAGATGCAAATAGAAGGGCAGAGTTCTAACTGTGCAGTTTTAAAACCCTCTGCGTGTTTTCCTAATTTACAAATCTTTTTGTTCATCATGCCATGAAAAAACGGAGACTAACTTATGCTTTCACTGCGATACAGCGAACACTTCTCTAAGTTCACAAGGGACTTCAAGCTCAGAACATGTAACGTCACCTTTTTTTTTGCCTTTCCTTGCAATGAAAGAAGGAAATACCCTCCACGTACATGTGACTCATTCAAGCAAATGAAACCTGTTTTGATTTCTGAAGCTGTGTTCTAAATTTCACACATTCAATTTCTTCCAGATCACCACAGACCTGAGGCAGCGTTGCACAGACAGCCATACTGGAACCTCAGCCTCTGCACCTATGGCTGCAGGCATCATTGCACTGGCACTGGAAGCAAAGTAAGATCTGAGTTATACTCTGACAAAAAAAAATTTAAGCATACGGAAGGATCTTTCTCACTCATCCTGCACCTGTATCCAGGGATCTCAAAGTGCTTTGGCAACTTTGTTGTAGTAATTCACAGTACCCTTCCAAGGGCAGGAAAGATTAACATGCTTATTTCATGGGCAGGAAAGCTGACACTGTGGAAATGACAGCAGAGTACTCAGTGTTGAAATAACCTGAAACAGTGTTGAGCACAGGTAGTTTCCACTAGATGATGTATAGGATCCTCACCATGTCTTACAGTACCCTCACAGTGCTGCCCAGATCTGCTGTACTCTCTAAGCTACTGTAGGTCGCCTCTTGCATTCGTCAGGCTCCTCTTAATGATATCCGTTCTTGAACATTGAAGAAAGTTTTGAGACAGTGTTAGGCTACCATGGACAGAAATTAATATAGTATGAAAACCAAAAATTCTTAACTTTTGCATGCTGACACAAGTCTGTTTTTTTCTAATGGGTTAAGTTCTTCAGCTGTAAGAACTATAGGTAGTATAGCTCCATGGTGCTTTTACCTTTAAATCAGAAAAGTTTCCATCTTACAAGCATTTTCTCAGCCTCAGGGTTTTGTTCTTTGTGACTAATGTCTATCTTTAATGTGCTTTATGGAGCAGCAGAAATAGGAAGATTTAGCAGGTAAATCAGTATTTCAAAACCTTTTACATTGCTTTGCGCTGTGTTGGATAATATTTGTAGGTCTAAGGTGGAATGCTCTGCCCCAAATCCGGCTTGAATCACATGTTTCTAAGTGCTAGGAGATTGATTCTATTAAATTCTGAAGAAAACCAGTTTCCTCTGGGGGCAACCAGCTCCTTTGAAGGAAGTAAAATAGTTGCACACAACAGTCATTTCAAATTGTATGTAATTCATAGCAGCAGAATTGTTTCCATCTTGAATGTTTCTTTTTTGAAGAAACCATGGGCCAATATTCAACACAAAATACATTTTTGCTGTTGAGTTTGAGAATAAAAGTTAGTAATTGAAGAGCTGACATAATCTTAAGTTGTGCAGCACTTGTATCATTATAATTAGATTTTCTTGATGCAGTCATTAGAAACAAAGGTATTTTGAAAATTTAATATAATGCTATTTTTTTTAAAAAAAATCTTTTTAAACTCTTCTTAATCGCAGTTTTAAAATCCTTAAGTTCATTCTAAACAATCTGCACATGCAGATAAGGTTGCACATGTGTAAATTTCATTCTGCTGAAAGTTTTTCTGATTATTTCTTAATGAATGGAGGTTGCTTATAATTTTTGGTTTGTATTTTGTATGACATTTTGTGTGCATTTTCTGACAAATGATTTTTGTAATTGAAAGTTTCAAAGAGTACACAAAACCCACAAGCCATTGCTGATTGTGACATCTTAAAACACACTGAGAGGCTTATACTTTACACAACCTTTTTTCTCTGTGAACTTTGGTGACTTTATCAATGGGAAATCCATATTCTTTCCTGTGGAGTAGTATTATTTTTTTCAAAATTAATAGTTGCTATGATGACTGTATTTGCATGCAGTGATGGAGACAAAATGTGCCAGTGACTACAGTTCCTAGTCACTTTTTTGTATTTTTAGTACTCTGTTGCATGGTGCTAACAAGAGATTCAGGGTGAAAATGTATTGATTTTGCCCCCTTTCAGATTCTATTCAGTTTCAGTATATGGAGGGTTCTCACTTATTTCCAAATCTTAGCCTGTGTATTTGAATAGAGCCAAAGGAATTATATTAATAATATCATAAATGTGTTTTTTCTCATTTGTATTCCATTCCCTAAGTTTTCTCTTCTATGTGTACTTACAACCAATTTTCTGAACACAGCCACCACCAAGAAATGAAAGAAAAAGAGAAAAAAAAAAAAAGGAAACTAGGGAGAGAAATATTTTCAGGTTTCCCATGCTGTTTTTTCCCATAAATTAATCCAGTCCTAGGGCTGGAGAAACCTTTACTCTTGTGAAGTTATAGATTATTAAGTAAGGCCTTTAATATTACAAGTAGATCATATCATAATATAGTCAATTTTAGTGTCTGGGATTTGTTTGTATGAAATCTATCCAGACTATTTTAAGCAGTTTCTGAATTGTAATTCTTATTTATTTATCTGATTTGAAAATTCAGGTTGTATTTTTCACCTGTGATACCTGCCAATTTAGGTGATACTAAATAAATGCTTGAAATTAAAGTATGCAAAAAGAAGTTTTGAAGCCATCTTAAATATTTTCTCCAATATTTTTAAGTTATATGGCATGTAAGGGACTCATGATACTGTGGCTTAGCATAAGGGCTTACTGGAAGTTTACATTCAAACAGAGTTTGAATTTACATAGATTTTTTTTCCTTAGATTCCATATTAGTGCCTGTGCTAATATCACTAATGTTTATATGAGATTTTTTAAAAAGACTAGTTTGAAAGGGGTTTTGCAAAGTTAATTATGCTTTTCATACAGTAAGCTGCTTAAAAATTGGAGTACTTAGTCCTGAATGCTCCTTGAATATGTCTGTAATAATGTATACTTTCATTCCACTTTGTGCTGGAAAACACAACAAATTATACTGTGGAAGGGTTTCGAGCCTACAAGGTCAGTTTTCCCCAGTAGCCAAGTTCTGTTCCTGGGAGACATCAGGAGGTGAACAGAGCACTAGTCTGGCCTGGGTATGAACTAGAACAGCCAAGAGGTTGTTTCAACTCACACACAAAGGTACATTAAACCAGTGAAAATTGAGCAAGGCAGATTCCCACTCCAACCTGCCACTTTCTTTGATAAGCCCCATATGGTAGGATTGGCAAATAGCTGATGGAGGACCTCTTACCTGCCTACTCATTTGAACCTTCCACTTAGTTTGTTTTTCCAGCTGGGATCTGCTCCTGAAGTCCTGGCAACATCGTTTTGGATGGTGGTCTGCTTACTACCCCAACTTCAAATAACATGAACACATATTTTCTATAAATTTCCTGTCCCGTATTTTGAGTATCGAGTGGATTTTTTCCTGCAGGAACCAAGGAAGTGTAACTGAGTTTCAGACTGCTTTTTTGGAAAGCCCAAGGGCATCATGCAGAAATGTAGATATGCAACAACTGCCACACAAAGAAAGGAATGTCTTAATCTTCATATTCTATGGTTTTCTTATGGTATTCAGGTAGTTAATTGTTTTATCTGATGGTTCTCAGTGTATCTAGTATCTGTTCGGGCTCTATGAATAAATGCTTGCTTGTGTATTGCACTTCTTAATCATTACACAATGTTGATTTTTGCTAATTGTCAACCAGCAATTAAATGTATAAAGTATAATCAATTTAGTCAGCAGAGGCAGCAATCTTCTTACTAAAATTAAACTATTTGCATTGCATAGTACCATCTACTGCTGATATCAGAAATACCCTTTCTCATTGATGAAAGGTTTGAATTTGGGTTTGGGTGAATCAGGGTCAGGAGAGACAGTATGCCCACATTTATTCCAGTGGGCATTGTGCCGTGTTCCTTTGGAGAAGTCAAATTTTAAAAAAATCTTATGTTGCTGATGGAAGAATACATTATACATCCCTGAGTGAACTGCATGCTCCACTGTCTATAAGCCAATGCATGTTTTCCATCCCATGGTATATAAAATGCAGTTACATAAGAAGTAGCGCCTGTATTAATCTGCTGTGTGTTTCTACTGTGTGGTATACTCAGTGGTACAGCTTTGGCGAGAGTATGTTTTCTTCCATGATTCTATTCACATGAGCTGTATGCTTCATTTGTCTTTGGTTACATGAAACCAAGGCTAGAACAAGGTAGTGCTGGGAGGAGATAAAGAGTTTCAGTGAATTCTGATGCCAATGATCCATTCAGAAAAGCGACAATGCACCACGTTCTTCTAAAAGGCAGTGTAACCGAGTGTACTTACTGAGATGAAAGGAAAATGGAGTTCATATTGGAAGGGGTCAAAAGTGTTAGAGGAAGATACTTAAGATTTCTGAAAACTGATCAGGTACTTGCAGTACTTCCCATATTGATTGATTTTCTTACAGAAAGGAGAAAAGCAGTATACTGTTTGGCAAAGGGCAGTTTTGGATACAGAGAACATCTTTCTGTGTCATCCAAGTTACGAGTTTGCTTGTTCATAAATATAGTCAGAGGCTAAAGGTGATGAGACAGTTGAGGCGAACTGTGGAAGTGCTGTCAAGTGACCTCTATATGTAGGCTTCCAGTGTAAGAGAAAGAGAGGTTATCACTTAAGTTCATCTCATCAGCTTTAGCTAGGTCTTTGCTCCATTGACTGAGTGCCTATTATAGAAGGGAACACTGGCGTGTGTGAGTTAGAAATCTTTTGTGAATATTTGCATTTTTGGAGTACTTCTAAAGTAATGCTCTTAACGGTGAAGTATTTGAAAAACGTAAACATAAATAAATGCTTAATTTAGAACCTATGTTTCTCCTGAGCTTTAACCACCTGCACCACTTATGCAATTTCAGTTATTATATTGAGATTGACTTAGAAGTACTTTCCTGAATTCAGGTTGCCCAGTGTTTCCCATTTTAAGGTCCTGTTTTCAGTTACAGGTGACTTTGCCAAAGAATAATCATTCAGTCTGAAATTTTCCATGTAACTTGCTTTAAAAAGGTTTTAAGAAAATTCTATCCAGGCATTTCTTAAACTGAGTCTAGGTTAAAAAAAAAAAAAGTTTGACTGTGATCATTTTTAACTTTTTCATTGAGTTTTACTGTGTCTGCGCTTTTGAGCAACAGCTAGAAATAGAACGAATGGATAGCTATTGTTCTGATGCCAGGGCAATGCCTTTTACTTTCACAAGCTTTTCAAAAATCTCAATTGGCATGAGCTCAGCTGAGAGTTTTAAGAGTTTGGCAGCTCTGTACCCTCTAGTTTCTTGGTTCTCCAAGTGTTCCCCAGCCTCAGCTTTTAGAGGCTGTTTAGGGTTGTCTCTGAAGTTGCTGTGAGGGGTGTTGCTAGCTGTTCA